GTGTACAAGAATAATTATCCTTTGGAACATTATTGGTCATGACATTTGTGGGATTGTGCTGCTCCCTGCTGGCAAGACTAACAACAAGACCGACAGTTAGTACTGTGTCTGCTAGGGGACAGAGAGGATAAACAAGGAGAAACTGAGTGATACACGAGGAAAGAAACGAAGGAGACGAAAGGCTGCAAAGGGAGAACTGGAAAGAAGAGACTTTATACTGTGAATTGTGATATTAGTTGACTGGGTGACATGGAAGGCAGTGAACTGATATTAAAGGGCTGAAGGGACCTCAGGGAGTAACACAGCAGGAGGACAAGAAAGATGATTTTATAATAAAACTATCAAAAGTTATTGCTCTTCATGTTGGAACCCCCTGGAGGCACTGCCAGAGCTATCAGTATGCTAGTAATGTGTGTGTGAGTGTAGATAAAGATTTTTCTGTCCTGCTATGTGTAACTCTCTCTCATACACTCACTCAACAGTGGACTTGGCTGGATTTTTGGTACCAATACTGTTAATTAGAGCAGCAGCAGATTAAAGCCAAGCGTGTAACCTCTGTACTGGTTAATTACAACCAAGCTTCTTTTTTTTTCATATTACTTTACCCCAAACTCAAGCTTCACTTTGCCTTACACCATGGCTGCCTTTGTCAGTACATTTGCATAGTAAATCCTTGTGGGTGATACAACTATATTGTTTTCTTGCCAACTATGTTTAAAAAAGGGAACTGAGAACACATGGGAAGTGTACTCTTGTAAGAGGACAAAGTTGCTGTTGAGCTCAGATAATCCTAAATGGTGTTGTTAAAAGATAAAGGCAAAAACTGGACACATTCTTCTTCCTCCTTGGACGTGATTCTTTCTCCTCTGTTTTGACAAAACTGTCAAAATAAATCCATTGTGAGGGTGTGTGTGTGGTGTGACAGAGGGAGAGAGTTTACTATTTGTTTGTTTTATATTTCTGTATCACAAAGCCCTTGAATATAGATTGTTTGCATCCGTCACTGTGGTTTTATTGTATCCATCCAAACTTTCTGATCTTTATGGATGTATCTGGCATGGTTCCTTCTCTAAAGTCAACCTGAACAGTGAAAAAAAAGAGCTTGTAGAGTCAATTTCAAATGTGTGTCTTTAGCCCCTATTCCGCACAGGCTAGTATTACCTGGGGAACCGTCATGTGATTTAGTTAAATTACCCCACCCACGTCTTTGGGTGTTTCCGTGGCGGCGCAATTTCGCACAGGGAAATAAGCTAAGTTCTGGTGGGTTGTTTTTTAACTTTGAAAATTTTACTGAACATTTATCCCCGGAAAAAATAAATTGAAAATGTTTCAAGGGCTTCCTGCCGTAATAAACCCCTAATGCGTAAAACAGGGTCTGTCCACTTGAACCTGACGGTTTAACCTTGCCTTGGTAAACGGTCCGGGGCCCCGTGGGAAAGGCACCCGTGGCCACCCCCTCTATTGTGGCCGAAAAAGGGGCTCGAACATCCTTTTCTCACAATCCAGGTGGTCCCGTTTTCTGGGCTTGTTTTTCCCCAGCATGCCCCAACAACAATCAAAAAAAGGGCCTGTTCAAAACTTTTTATTTTTATAATGGGCCAACCCGGGCACCTCCAATAATTCCGAACCCGGGAAAAAGGCAGAAAAAAGGCCGCGGAAAACACAAAAAACTTTAAAAAAAACAAACAAACGCCCAAAAATCAACAGAGATGCCGAAATATCGCACGGGAAACATAATATTATCAACCATGGGAAACCCTTGTGGGTTTTTGGTGAATAAAATTATGTAGGTAAATTTTGCTGTGGAAAATTTTTTTTCTTACAAATTAACGGACATGGCAAAAGATCCGCAACAAAGGAATTAAGACACAAGACCAACCTCCGCAATCTACTACCAAATTACTAGAAGGTCCCCAGGGGTAATACTAGTCCCGTTGCCGAAATTAGGGCTTTGTCTCCTTTTTTACTCTTCCCCCCTGTTTCAAAACTTGAAACCCAAAAATGAAGCAAAGAATGGGCCTTCAAATCGTTTTTTTTGTTCACCAAAATGTCCACATCCCCTGAAAGAAATTAATTCAAAAGTTTGATTTTTATGGGGCGTAGGTTTTGGGGTTCCCTGTTTTTTGGGGCCCTTACAACAGGTTTTTGGATGTAGTGGATTATAAGGAAAGGCCTTTTTCCTTAAAACAAAGCAAACTGGGTAAATGTTGTTTCTAATTTTGCTGTTTTTGTTTCCTTATCTTTGCGGTCAAAAAAAAGTTGGGTTTTTAGGAAAAAAAATAAATGTAAAGTGAAAT